TGACTACGCGTATCAAGTGCTGCTAACGATAACTATGTTCGCGATTTTTGAGATGAATAGGGAGCTCGTGGGCGAAAGTCTTCTCCCCTCAATAAAGTGACATTACAGTATAATCTAGAATGTTGGTGTTGGCCGGCGTTTGCCAGTTTCAAATTTAACCGGATAAATTTTTGCCCCAAATTGTAGAAAAAGAAACTGAAAAACTAAAAAACCTTAGGATTTACGTCTGAAGTCCGGAATAAATTACTACTTTTTGAACCCATCACCAACAATTTTTCTCGATCAAAGGCCACGTGAGCCAGACTCTATGGCGTTTTCAAAAAAGTGTGTAATGGACGGCGATCGTGTTCCTGTTGATGAGTATGAGGAGTACAATTACGAAGAGGACCGGATAACCGGTACTAAAGGTGGACGAAATCGTACTAAGGCTGATAAGAAGCACGAATTGAGTGACAATCGGTCAACTCGCATTCATATTGAGAAGCAGCAAAACAACGAAGAGAAGCAGGACGCTCAACGCTTGAAATCTGACTCGCCTAAGTAAAATCTCCATCGGTTTGAGGAATTTACATTTTTTTGAAAAGTTTTGTTTGCAGTAAAAGGTTGCTTCTAGTGCCTTTCATCTCTAACGAGCCTATTTAATTTGCTATTGCAAATATATTTGGCTGACGAGTTGTGTGCTACACTGGCTGCAAAGTCATTTTGTTCACATAGATAGTCTCGACAACCTCATTTTTAACAAAGATTGTAAGCCTCACGTGGAAACTGCCGTGTTAGCCAAACTGAGGCATTGACACTTGATCATCCTTTCATTGACGTGTCGTGTTTATGCTATCAGGGCTCTATGTTCTGTTGCCTGGCCCACGAAAGCCAGTTCCTAATATTATTGGCCGTGTACAGAAACCGGACTTCTAATAGGAAATATCAAATATATCACACAGGAGCTTCATAGTGGGCAGAATGACTCTTGTACTGAATACCGGAAAGTGGGACTTGCTGCACAGCGAACTAAGCACTTATAACCGGCTGCAAACTGCAGATATCCAGTGTACCTCAAGAGGCCAAGAATAAGCGCTTACAATACAAACCTAAACATTTAGCGCACGGCATATTGTGTTTCGATCGGTCTATGGAAGCTGATCGTAGGTGTATAAGGGAAATCCTGATGACTCAAACCTTTCCACTGTGAGTAACTGGCATTTTGGTGGTTGGATCCTTGGTTGACCAATTTTCCGATAAGTGATTTGATTCTTTTTTCTTACTGAAATGGCTATAAAGGCATTTTACTCGACGTAGTGCATAGTTGAACTGCCTCCTGTAAAGATTGGCTGTGAATCAGGTGCTAATAACGTCGGTTGCGGTCTGCAAAGTCGACTCTGTAGTTTGATTTGGAAGAGACGTCGCGAACATGAGCTTATATTTAGTAGGTTCCTTAACTACCATTTGACGAATCGAAAATACATTCGGCGATTAATTTAAATTTTGAGAAACGTAGTTCATAATAGTTTCCTGAATCATACGAATCCCCTTAGGATGGCTGTCGACCTAAATTGGGGTGTTCCCGGGAACTGACAGATTTCAACCTCAACCACTGAAAATTTTAGTAAAACTACGGCTTTACCATAGCGAGGAGTGCAGTGCGCACCACAAACTAGAACATTGGGGCATATAGGAATGTTGACGCAGCCCAACCCTTTCACGGTTCAGATGTTATCTCAATTCCGGACTTGCGCATCCTTAAGTCAATAAGCCAAAAAACTGATCCACTCCGATCTTACAACTGTTACTAAAAACCAACAACTTTTGCGAAGTTCTGAATGTATCACTCGTTCGCTTTAAAATAGCATTGTCGTGAACTACACCTTTGTTGTTCATTGATGTTATCATCACAGTCATTTCGGTATGTTCCCTAATATTCGAGTTTCATTTTAGGCAAGAGGTTTTCTTTAACAAACCGTAGATAAGGTCACATATATTCCAGCGCGTAACCAAGTCTTTCAGTTCTTCTAGAATGCTCTGACGGGTAAGTGTCAAGTTGTCCCTTGGTTACTGCAAAGTTTGACGTCGGCGCGAAAATAACGAGAGACCTACTATTTTTATTGCCTCGAATCGTTAGTCACTAATACCTGCTTTTGGCATACCGGGCGGCAGTAAGTCATTACGTTCGATACATTTTCAAACGCACAACGTCAATCATGTGTTAGATGACCGCGCGGTATGTAGTACCGAGTCAAAATGACCAGCGTGCGGCTAAGGCTGCACATTGTAGAAAATGACTGGCCTACAAAGATGCATTGCCTGACTTTCCGATTGCTTTGTCCCACTGGGTCCTACTCAGTTTAACCCACTAAGCTAACATACTATCCAAAGCACATTGCAAGGAAGTGGGCGCCGCCATACGAATTGGTTATCTGTTTGGCTAGTCCGCCTCGTTGGTAGCACAAAGGTGTTCGCCTTTCTGACACTCTGAGATTTTGGAACTTGCGCAGTTGCATTCTCACAACAAACGTTTGGGACAAGCTGCCCAACACAAGAGATGTATCGGTTTTCTGTTAACTCAGGAGACTGCACAAGAATCCGCAGGTATGCCAGGTAATATCTTCTTAACATCAGGTGGAGACTAGTTGCTTTAATAACGTTAATGTCCTTTTAATGGGGACTTTTTTAGCCTCTGAATCCCAGTGGTCGCTGCCAGTCTAAGTCTGCAGGAAAGCCCGAGGTTGGCCATCAGAGTCGCATCTACAGACTGCAGCAAAGTTGCCGTTTCGGCTATCTTGCTCTATAAATCTACGTCGTACGGAAATAGTAGGGTATGCGCGTGCGGCTTTGAATCAGTCGGCGACGCTGTTGTTTTTTTTAGTACAGAAATGAGGCATCCGCACAATTTATACTCTTCGGCGCGGAATGCCGCTTCCCCTTTAATGTCGGTTTTTCGGGTGCATTCTGCAGTCGAGTAATCAAAAAACGAGTCTAGCGCTCGACTTGCTTGCTGCTTAATTTTTCTTGGGCGCTCCATGCATGTGTTTGGATCCAAAGTGCTACTTTTGCCCACGCACCACCTGTCGACCATTGATTTGGAAAATAGTTCGAAAAAGTAATAATAGGTTGAGGTAAGGTATTGTTCACGGAGGCATATCATCTGCGATCCGAAACTCATTTAATTTTTAGGCGAAAATTGTGACTACCGATAGGAATAAGTATCCTTTGCACGTTTAATTGGCGTTCATATTCACCAGTTTATGACTCATCTTCACTGGGGGCTTCACATAAAGATGCTTTTGTGTAACAGGAAGGGGTTGCTTTTCAAGTTGTGTCAGGGGTGCTTTCGTGGGCAAGCCGCATGGTGTGTTAGGATATTAATGCGACTGGACTTTATATGTCGGATTAACTTAAAGGAATTGTGCAACGGGAGATACGTTCCACAAATCCGGACAGTGCTACAGTTAAACAAAATTTGATTTGATATTCTCTCTCTCTCTCGTGAGTAAGCTGTCTACTCGAATCCATTTCGTCTCAAATGGACGGGCTGATGCGACGAAAAAATGAACGAGCGCTTTGGTAAAATTTCTGTTTTCAGTTTCAATAGTTGATTGGCGGACTCGTGTCACAATGATCTG